ACAGTCTAAACTCCAAGTATCCTTCTTTAAAACCCGGCTAGTAGTCCTTATATTAACCCCCCTTCAGAGTTTGGACTATAGCTCACTTGAGCCATAGTCTAAACTCCTTAAAGGGGGTTATATAGGGGATTATATGAGGGGCTACTATAGGGGTTATTCAGGGGGATACTAGGAGTTTAGACAATGGCTCACTTGGGTTTAAGGCTTAGGGTTAAGGGTTTAGGGATTTAGGGTTTGGGGAGTTGGGAAGGCAGCTAGGATGCAAACTAGAGCTGGCGAACAGCCGTCTAATCAAGCTGAGAGGCATAGTCAGAGGACACGGAGTCCGCAGCCCAAACGCCCTGCAGCTGTTTACAGCAAACAACGCCAGAGAAGCTCGTACAGTAGTCGCTTGAACAGTAAAACAAGCTTGGCCCTGAGTGTAATAAAACGTGCGCGTTTAGCTTAGCTTGCATCTGCCGTGCTCTTTCTCCCCTCCCTTTGGGGGGGTTCCCAAAATTAAGTTCTAGGTATACAGAAATTATATAGGGGTATATGGGGTTATAGAAGGGTTGAAAAGGTATGGAAAAGAAAATGGAAGCTACTGTTTAGGGTTTAGAGTTTCTCAAAATTACGAGTACCTTTTTTTGGGGGGATCCCCATAATGAGAATTGTCTCACTTTAGGATCAATATTGGCACCCCTGTTTTGAGAAGCCCCCTATGTCTCTCCCCTAGTCTTCTGACCTCGTCTTGGAAATCCATCCACACCCTGATTTTCACACAGAGAATGGGGGTGTCGGGGAATGGGGGAGCACTTTCCATTCTCGCAGAGGGCTTCACTTCACTCCGCTTGCCATACTGACTCCTGCTTACTTCACTGACTCCTGCCTACTTCATCCCGCTTACTGCCACCGATGCATACAATAAGATTGCCCTCTCGTGTAAGGAGAGCGGCAAGGACCACAACGGAGTAGCTCTGAGATGCCGGAGTCGGAGGGGGGGGGGGAGTGGGTTGTCGACCAGCTGATGCTGTGGGCCATTCTGCCTTCCTTCCTTATACAATCCTTGTAGAATCCTCATACAATAATCCTCATTGAACCTGTATATAATACGCATAGGATCTCTGCATAATCCCCATTTAATCCTTATAGAGCCCATCCCGTTGGCATCGGCCTTTCGGCCTGAAAGACTGCTACCATCTTACTGGTGCTTAGTAGGGAATACGGGAATATGATGCCTATGTGGGCTATAGTCTAAGCTCCTATAATAATCCACCGTGTGATCCCCTATATAACCCCCTTTAAGGAGTTTAGATTATAGCTCATGTAGTCCCTGTATACTACTGTTGATGGAGGAAATCTTGCACCATCCAGGGCCCCGAAACTTCTTCTTTCCTAGGACTTTAACACCCTAAGGTGGTGCAAGATTTCCTCCACCAACAACATATTCCCCTATTCCATACTAACCCTAAGCCCCTCAGGCCCTACTACCTAAGTAAACCATGCGCGTCTCCTTGCACAGCGGTTGTCCCAAGGTCTCGAAGTTCAGGTGGTACATCACGCCCTGATAATCCACACATGACCACAGCACCCCATTAGGTACTTGTGGTTAGCAGGAAATAAGGGAATATGTTATAGGGATTATGGAGGTGCTTTGTGGCTCTTGTTCCACGATTCGAGGAATTTCACCGTAAATCGGCAACTACCGGGCAGTGTGCTCCAGGCATATCAAACATGCTTGCTTGGCCGTGTCTCCGCGCGTTCCGTAAAGAAGGAACTTGGTGGAAGTTGCATTCGGCTCTGTGACGATGTTGTCCACCTGTTCATCACACCATAAAAAAAGGGCATTAATGCTAATGGTCACAATAACAATAATAATGGTAATAATAAGAATAATTGTACTTTTCCATTTGGAATGCATGCTGCGGCACGTAGTCAAGCCCGCCACTTTGGAAGACCGCAATGAAAAGCACAATAGTAATTGTAATACTGGTAACCAGAACAATAATAATATGGAGCAGCAATAGTAATAATACGACTGATACTAATAGCAGTAAGAGTAATCGTAATAATGATAATTGTAATAGTAATAGTAACAGTAATTGTAATAGGAATAGTAATAGTAATAGGAATAGGAATAGTAATAGTAATAGTAATAGTAATAGTAATAGTAGTAGTACTAATAATAATGGGAATAACGCATCGTAATGGTGCTGCACCTCTATGGGCATCGAGGAGAGCTCGAAGTCATACCAGCTCTGTCCTTCGTTCCAAGAGAAAACGACCTCAGCTGTTTGTCGGCTTTCAATCGTCTCACAAACGGACAAGTTTAAACGGCCTATATGGGGATTACACAGGACATATAGGGCATATAGGGGAATGGAAGAGAAACCGGAAACTACTATATGTTTTTGGGTTCAGGGTCTGGCACGCCAATGGCACAGGCACAGCGAGATGAGTACTGGCAGCAGCCTAAAGGGTTTAGGGGTTGAGGGTTTAGGGATCTGCACCACAGCGCCAGGTCGCAGACCAGCTTAGTCTTTCGCACATCATCCGCCATGACGACTAGACCGCCATGGTCGCCATACTCATAGATGAAAGCACCTTCAAGCAACTTCCATTAGTCTACAGGCCTCAAAAATGTGTAGGAACTTCATGTGGTCAAGAGGGAAGGGAATGTGGGACATCATGAAGTACTGCGTAAGAATGTTCCTGTCATCTGGTTTTAGCGGCACCTTGGTTGTGCACAAAAGTAGGCAACGGCACTTTTCAGTCTTCAGGCCCCACCTTTGTGCGCTTCAAGCCACGTGAGGCCACCATCGCGGGACAAGTAGGTGTTGGTCTGCCAATCAATACTGCTTCACGGAAGCAACCAGGTACACATTTGTACGCAAATACATCTTTCCCAGTGATCCATTATCAACTGACACGAATGGAATGTAGCAGAACAAACTGGATCAAAGCCTGATCTGGCTCAAAGCGCAAGTAGGGGCCAACATTGCCAGTGCCTGCCAGGCAGTCGTCCACAATCGTGCGAATGAAGTTCTCAAACCTACCCCTGTAGAATGCTTGGTGGTAACCGGTATTACCAGGGTCCCCGAGGGCGCCCTGTTTTGAGAAACTGCCAGTCTCAGTAATTCCTAGCTTCAAGTGAGGTGTCAGTAACCGGACTCCACGTCAGTAGCATCCGGGGAACCGCGCCCATGATGATGCCGATGGCATTGTCAGTGGAGTAGAAAGGCCTTTCGTGGTGCTTGCGCTAACCCTAAGCCCTAAACCCTAAACCCAAAACCCTTAAACCCCTAAACCCTAAACTAGCGCCAAACGTTGCCATTGACGGTGCTGAGTCTCCCGCGCGTAGTTATGAAAATTCGTGATCCCGTGCCTTGCAAAGGGACCATTCGTTCATGCATAGGGACAAGGTAAAGCAATAGTACTAGTACTAGCAACAGTAATAATAATAGTACAAGGAGAAACAGAGATGCTGAGTTCCTCTAGTATTCAGCCATCGGACAGAAAGACTGCGCGCAGCATACAAGAACATAACAACAAAACTGCTTCTGCAGAGACCCTCCGCAAAACAAACTCTGGAAAACACAAAGCCAAGCCAGGACCCAGCAATGTTAACTAGCCCCTACATAAGCCCAGTTTCCATCATATGTTCCATTGTTTTTTCCATTTGATTCTCCATTTTTGGGAGTAATGCCTCAACCCTAGACCCTAAACCCTAAACCCTGTAGCCTAAACCCTATTCAAGTAATTCTGTATAACAGGCCAGCATGGCAAGTGCAGCCAGCACTTGTCTGGAGGGCAGTCAATCTGCTTTCCCGTCGAGTCTACGCGCGGCGGCTTCAGGTATGACCTGGGGATTTCCTGTTTAGGGTTTAGGGTTTAGGGGTTTAGGGGTTTAGGGTTGCAAGTTGCAGAACACGAATGTTATCTGTTACAAAAAAATGTAGGAAGATGTAGGTAATAGCGTGGATATCACTTGAGTGTTCTCCTGCTGGGGGCATCTCTCAAGCACCCCCGCGCCCTAAACCTCAAAACGCTAAACCCCTAAACCCTAAACCCTAGACCCCTAAACCTTGAATTCCTAAACCGCAATCCTAGACCCGTAAACTCCAAACCCCTAAACCCTAAATCCTAGACCCCTAAACCCTAAACCGGGACCATTCAGCAGAAGCACATACCTCGGTAGCGAAAAATTCTCGTGTCTGGATTCTGTATAGGGGTTATATTGGGTTATAGCATTGGAGTTTAGGGTTTAGGGTTTAGGGGTTATATAGGGTAATGGAAAATGGAAACTACCATGTAGGGCTTAGGGTTAAGGAGGCTAATTAGGGTAGTGGAAAAGAAAATGGGAACTTAGGGATAAAAAGGGAATTAATAATGGGTTATAAGGGAATAACAGAAAAGAAAATGGAAGCTACGATGGGGTTATATATAGAGGTATTTGGGGGGTTAAGAAGGGATAGCGGAAAGAAATATGGAAACTACTATTTTGGGCTCAGGGTTTGGGGTAGGGATCATGGAGAATCAAATGGACAGGAAGATCACATGGAAATTGGGTTTACATAGGGGTCATGTAAAGGGCTTCAAGCAACTCGAGTAAAGTCACCAGAATGAAGATACCCCGTGACATGCAACAATATTCTGGGTTGCTGTTAAGGAACTTAAATTAAGTTACCATAATGGGTATATATAGCAAATAATAGGGTTTCCCCAATATAGTAAATTAATTCAAGTTCCTTAAATCCCTGTGTTCCCCCAGTTTCCATTTCATTTTCCATTTTCTTTTCCATTTGATTCTCCATTATAGGGGGATAACTTAATTCAAGTTCCTTAACAGCAACCCAGTATTAGGTACGTACTTTCAATGAATAGGGGGATCCGAGAATAGACCTTCGTAAGTTGTAACTCTTGTTATGGAGACCCCTCCCAAAGAGGGAACCCTTTTTTAGAAACTCGCACTTGCAAGTTTCCATTGCATGTTTCACTGTTCTTGTCCATGTGATTTGATTCTCGATTTGGGGGGGGAGCCGGTTTCAGGGTTTGGGGTTAAGGGCTGAACACCTGTTGATGGATGAAATCTTTCACCTCTTAGGGCGCCTAAGCTACTGTAATTCCTAGGACTTTAAGGACTCAAGGTGGTGTAAGATTTCTTCCAGCAACAGTATGCCGAAATGTAGCGGTTGAGGGTTTACGGTATTTATGGTCCCGGAAGTTGGAGACCATTTTATAGAGATATATAGGGTTTAGGCTTTAGGGTTACACTCACCAATATTTCTAAGGAAGCCGATATGTACCCCAAACACATAGTAAAGACCCTTCCTCATGTATCCCTGGAAGATCCCTATATACCATCATATATCCTAACACCCTATTAAACAGATTAAACCTCAAAAGCACAAGCCCTCAAGCCACAACCTTAACCCTAAGCTATATCAAGGGATCGTACTGTGAGCAAACACTGAGAATCCTTCCACACACCGCCCTTGTCGAAGGAGATCACTGTGCGAACCTCGCTGAGAAGACATTTGTTTTGTTCAGGGTTCAACCCGGACTTCACAAAAAACAACACATTGCACAATAATAGGTAGTATACCCATGATGTTGCCGGTTAAAGGCCATTATTATGGCCATTTGGCAGGTCTAGAAATGGGCAAAGGTACGGCTTTGGCAGCAACAAATCCAAATCCAAAACCAGAGGCCATGGCCACGCTTTCCTCTTTGGCCTTGTTTTTTGGAGCTCTTCGCTTATCCACCTGACTGGTGCATGCAACAAGCATGCTGATATTTTTGCTTTGCTGCATGTGAGACATGGAGCACACACAAGATGCAACAGTCCTGACTGTTTCAGGATCCCCGCAAAGAAGGACCCCTAGTCGTGGGAAACCACATGCGGAGGTTTCCAACAACCTAGAGGTCCCTTTTTCGTTGGTCCCCATAATGAGGATCGGAGGCCCCCCCTTTCTGGAGACCTCCTAAACCCTACACACTACATCCTGAATCCCGAATCCTAAACCTTAATCCCTAAACACTTGGGTGGTTGTCCATTATAACCTCAATATCCTATAGTAGTTTCCATTTTATTTTCCATTACCTCAATATGTAACCCCAATATATGCCCTATAATCCCTATATAAACCCTATATAATCTCTGTAGTTTCCATTGTCTTTTCCATTATCCCAATATATAACCCCAATACGTACCCAATAATCCCTATATAATCCCTATAGTTTCCATTTTCTTTTCCATTATCCCGATATATGACCCCAATAAGTACCCAATAATCCCTACATGATCCCTATAGTTTCCATTTTCTTTTCCATTATCCCGATATAACCCGAATATAATAGTAACGAGCCTCTGTGCCGGCAGCAGCCTCACCCTCAAGAGCTTCGCCCTCTTTTGCTGCTTCCTCACGGCCGAGGGTGCCAGAATCGCACTCTCAAAATTGCGGGCCCTTAACCCTCGAGATGCAAAGGGATTATACCACTACCCACGCAGTTTAGGGCTTAGGGTTTAGGGCAGTTTAGGGTTACTCTTACTATTACCATTACCCTCACTATGACTATGACTATCACTATTAGAAGCACTACTGACAGGAGCACAGGGTCCCCGCAACCGACTTCGCCTGAGAAAATACACAAAAGAGGTATATAGGGAATATATATTGGGGTTATATTAGGATAATAGAAAAGAAAATGGAAACTATAGGGATTATATAGGGATTATTGGGTACGTATTGGGGTTATATATTGGGATAATGGAAAACAAAATGGAAACTACTATTTAGGGTTTAGGGTTTAGGGTGTTTAAGCTTGCCTTGGCCATCTCTGCCCCACCGGAGGAGTCGCCAGAGCGTGGGATGTCCTTCGGGCCGTACAGAATTCTTAGTAGTACATTACTACTAGTACTAGTACTACTAGTAGTACTACCAGTAGTAGTGCTAGTACTAGTACTAGTACTAGTAGTAGTAGTAGTAGTAGGTCCCCGGCAGGGAAAAAACCCCCCAAGAAACAGAAACACAATGATACCATACAATGGTATCATAAGGTTTCCCCACTGGGCACCA